AAATTGGTAATATTTACCTGTTCCATAAAATTTGAGACTAACTTGAATTAGCGATATTTAATTAGTGAGCTTGATAAAATAATCAGTATTAGGTATCAAATGAAAGCTCTATCCTTCGTCTTTTAATTAACATATAAGTTCTCTGATTATTTTTTGTTTAGATAACAATTTTTAAATGGCAAATCAACAAGCCCTAAAAAGTTGTAAGTCTAATTTTTATAAAAAAAAATATGAAAAAGGAAAACACATTGTTTGGAACCATTTCAAGATGGAGGGCTACTCAAAAGCTACAATTATTAGGTATATGAGCAGTTACGATCAAAATAAACTATTGGGTCGCAAAGCTGGAAGTGAAAGAAGGCCTACTCTTAATACACAAAACAACCGCATCAAATTAAGGAAAATGTTTAACAATCAAAGAGGTGTGTCACTTTCAAAGACTTGGTTGTAGCAAAAGCACCATCGGACGGAACTTAAAATCCTTTAAAAGAGTTAGCCTTTTCTTTGTTATAAAGGAAAATAAAGATTAAGCAGAACTCCTGAATAGAGGCTTTAAGATAGCCGAAAACGAACCATATATGTTACGAAAAAACCATATATGTCATATATGATTTTTTCCATATATGTTATATATGTTTACATTTGGTTAAAATAATGCATTATAATTTAATAATTTCATAAAATCCTGTAGTTATATTTAATATAATTGAAAAGACATAACTACATCTGTAGAATTCACAGATGTAGTTGTACAGATGTATATATTTTCAACATAATCGAAAAGATGTAATTACATCTGTAGTAATCAAGTACTTTTTAGACAGATGTTATTAGACATCAATGAAATTTCAGATGTTGTTTGACAGATGTTATTAGACAAAGCAAAAACTGATGTTGTTACCCTGACCCGTTTTGACTCCATGGATGTCTCATGGGTTACTAAAATCCTCAAAAACAAAACCAAAGTTACGTAACTAATATTTAAAAAATAAAACTTACAAAAACGATATGATTATGAAATATAATGTTAAACTAGCAGTAAGCAACCTGTAATACGCGTTGTTAGTAAATGAAATTAAAAAAAAAAAACCGCGTATAGAAAAGCCTAGAAACTATTTTAAAATAGAAAGCCTAGAAAATGACGTAACTCGACTAATAATAATAGCGTATTCATATTATCAGATGAAAAATTTTTTTTTAAGTGATTTTATACTAATTTATTATTGATATGTTCTCAAAAGAACATTGAGCACTCTATTTTGTAGAACACATTTCAAAATTGCTTGTATATATATATATATATATATATATATATATATATATATATATATATATATATATATATATATATATATATATATATATATATATATATGTATATATATATATATATATATATATATATATATATATATATATATATATATATATATATATATATATATATATATATATATATATATATATATATATATATATATATATATATATATATATATATATATATATATATATATATGTATATATATATTGGGGTTATGACTTTTTTGTGACCCAAGGTTACCCGCAAACCAAAAATTCAAGTTTACTGTACTTATATGAAACCCAGCTGTTTCAGGAACCACTTCTTTACCATTTTTGAAAATATATTGATACTGTTTATATCAAATGAGAAGAATATATAAGCACTAGGAAGTTTACAAGTACTTCGTAGCAATAAGTAAGAATCATTTTTATTTTTAATGCTGACACTGCTTATTGGATTTAACTATTTCCATTACTAATTGCAGTGCAAAAAGAGTTTTTTTTTTAAAATGGCAAGTGTTAAGAACGACCTTCGTTCCTCAATGTTAAATGGTTGTTTAAATCCTCTTTGTTGAGTTACAATTGAAAAATAAAAATTTCTCTGTGAGTAAAAAAGTATTTTCATGTTTTGCTGCATTTATTTATGAATATCTTTTTTAAGAAAAGGGGCCCCAAATAATCTTTGCATCCGGCCCCAAAAACCTTAATCCGGCTTTGCATGTATGTATGCATATATACAACGTATATATATATATATATATATATATATATATATATATATATATATATATATATATATATATATATATATATATATATATATATATATATATATATATATATATATATATATATATATATATATATATATATATATATATATATATATATATATATATATATATATATGTATATATATAAATATATAAACAAGACCGTTGCAAGTTGGCAGCAGGGGTAAGTTGACGAACTGCGTTTTTCTTAAGAGCCTTTTATCAGAAAGTGATAAAAATTAAACGAACCTTTTTAATTGCTCATTTCATCATTCACTGTAGTGTGGTAGGATTCGCGCAACATCGGAAACACGTAACTTTCGGAACATCGGAAACGATGTTCCAAAAGTTACGGTTTTGTCTAAAAAACACGCTTTTTTAGCCAAAAATGAACTTTTGGAACATCGTTTCCGTTTTACTTTACAAAGAAAATAGTTGGTCGTATGTAAAAAAATTATTGTAAAAATTACAGTCACAATTGGTTTACTATTTCTAGTCAGAATTTTTTTCAATAGTTGCCGTTTTTCAGGATCTATAGACTGTTTATTGAAAAAAAGGCTTTTGGTTAGGTTGGCCAGATTTTCACGGGGTAAGTTGGCTCATGGTATTTACTATGAAAAAAAAATTATATATTTTTTCATAGTAAATACTTTTACAGAAGAACTAAAAAAAAATTTTTTAAGGTTATTTTTTTTACAAATAAAAAGTAGGCTACTGTTTTGTCTGTTTTTACACTAAATTTTTGGTATAAATTGTTGCCAAAATAAATAATAAAAAGTTTCTATAAATTTTGCACTTACTATTACATTAATAATTGTTTTTATACTTTGCGCCAACTTACCCCAACTGTGTTGAGGTAAATTGGGTAACTTTTTTTTTCAAGGCCCCAGAAGAAAGAAAGTTTTTTTAATAATGAATGCAAGTTTGCGGTAGTGGTGTAGTGGTAGAGCGCTCGCTTCATAAACGAGTGGTTCCGAGTTCGATCCCCACCACGTCCCTGGTAGTACCGCGCTCAACTCGTTTCTCCGCGCAGCGGCCTTGTTCGTCAAGGTTCGTGTTTCGGAGTTATAGAGTTGAGAGAGGGTTATAGCCATGAATAAGTAGCCTCCTCGTCTGTAGTGGCCTTCTCGGCCTTGAGGAGGTGAATTAAAATAAAAAAAAAAAAAAAAAAAAAAGTTAAAAATGTTACCTAAGTTCATACTCTTCATATAGTAAAAACATTTTGTCAGTTTAGATAGACGAAATACTTACTTCAAAAATTTTTTTAATTTTGATGAAAAATAACGTAAGTACAACCAAAGTTTACAACGTTAAATTTTGTTGGTTTACGTTACCTAACCCAACATAAATCCAACGTTGCATCGATGTCGTGTGCCGACTGGGAACTAATTTTTTTTCTCCCTGAAACATTAAAATTTAAGTGAAACATATTGTTCATGCACTCAATTTATAATCCTACACGATTAGATTCACATTCTATGTGACTCTAATCGTGGCATTTTTATGTTACAATAATATTTGTGCTATTAGCACAAATATTATTGTGACAAGTAATGGATTGTTGACATATTTTATGTTTGGGTTTCGTCAGCAAATAATATTGCTTCATGATTGACGTCAAAATTACAGAAAAAATAACAATAAATAACTTTTATAATTTTCTTTACGACAATATGTCCGTTGTCTTTATGCCGCTGCAAATGAATCTTTAACTGAGCTATACAGCCAAAGCTTGTTTTACAAAGATAACATGTTTACATTCTGAAAAATACCTAACCCATACTATTGCTAAAGTTTATCTGAGAAATGGCGAACTCATAAATGTAAATAACATATGAAAATAGATTCTAATTTTATTTTTGGTAATTTCTAAATTTTTTTTTAGCGTGTAGCAATATTCCAAGTATTGGCAAAAGAAAATATTTCAATAATGATATTTCTAATATTGGCAAAAGTACGGAAACTTCTAGCTTCTGGACAAAATTACGGAAACTTCTAGCTTCTGGACAAATGCTTCTAGCATTTGCTTACCAAAAATTGTTGAACATTATTTAATAAACATATATACTGTGACGTAACCACAAATTCTTGCCTCTCTCTCGCAAGATTTTTATTGGAGCACCTTTTTAAAAAATAACCCGTGCATTATTTAGGAAAAAAAAAAAGTCCAGAAAATCTTTGCGATGCCTTTCTTTCCAGGGTCCTAAAGTCTTGTAAGGATGTGTTCCCCCTAATTACACCACAGCAAAAAACAATTTTTATCAAAGCAAACGTTCTCAACTTTTAATTGTCATTCTTTTTTGTTAAGTTTTGCTTAGACCTTTGCAGGCTTCTTGTTGAGTTTTTGCTTAGACTTTTGCAGTCATTTTGTTGAGTTAACAGGAGTTTTAGCGGTATTTATAGGTTGAATAAGATTTTGAAAAAGTATCCTTTTCTAGAGACGATTTTAAACCTGATATTTTTCTGTTCCCAAATCCTATAATATTCAATATAATTTGGATAATTGAGCAAAAAAGAAACTTGAGAAGATCTTCTTAAGTTTCAAAGTTTAAAAAGCGTTATCTTAACTTTCTGATTAATTTACTTCCAAAAACAGCTATACAAGAAAAATGATAAATTTTCAAAGAAAAATAAAAGGCGTCTTAACATATCAATAAAAAAAAATTTAAAATTAATTTTGATGTGTTTTTTTTTTTTAAAAACTTCTCAGCGATAAAAACTCCGACAAAAAAGAGTATTTGTGTACTAATTAAATGCTTAAAAATAAATAAAGGTGAAATGTTACATATAAGCATAGGAAATATAACATATAAGTTCTATAATGGTTTGCGTACTAATTATTAATTAGTATATGACGTGCGTACTAAGTAAAAGCTTGAAAATAAATTTAGATGCAATTTAAGCTATAAGTTCCATACAAGAAACAAACAAAAATAAATAACCAGCAAGTTTTAATATATAACGTGTCTAAGAAAATCCTGACAAGCAAAAATATAAAGAAATTTAATACGCTTGCGAAACATTCATGTGACTTTAAGCACACACACTATGATCACGTATATCACATGATACTTAAAGTTTGTATATAAAAGGAAAATACAGTATTTAAAAACAGTTTGATATAGAGAAAGTTTGTGGGACTTAAACGATTAAAGCCTCTGAAAACTTTGCACTTGGTAACTTTGGTAAGATTGCAAACATATATTTTTTTAAATTGTGAATGACATATATATATATATATATATATATATATATATATATATATATATATATATATATATATATATATATATATATATATATATATATATATATATATATATATATATATATATATATATATATATATATATATATAATAGATATATATATAATAGATATATATATAATAGATATATATATAATAGATATATATATAATAGATATGTAAATATATATATTTTTTGTTTTTATAGGTTTCGCCATAATGAAGGTTTTCTGTGCATTATTGTTGTTGGGTGTGACTCTTGCTTATACCATTGAAAGGCCTGTTAAAGATGAATCTTGGATTCAATGGAAAATGTATCACAACAAAGTATATAGCCATGATGGTGAAGAAACCGTTAGATACACGATCTGGAAAGATAACGAAAGACGTATTAGGGAACACAATTTAAAAGGTGGAGATTTTCTTTTAAAGATGAATCAGTTTGGTGACATGACAAATAGCGAGTTCAAAGCATTTAATGGTTATCTCTCTCACAAACACGTTAATGGTTCAACATTTTTAACTCCAAATAATTTTGTTGCTCCTGATACAGTTGATTGGAGAAACGAAGGATATGTTACCCCAGTTAAAGACCAAGGTCAATGCGGTTCATGCTGGGCTTTTAGTACCGTAAGTTTCTTTTTTTGTATAGGTTACAGAATGTTATTGTAATAAGGTTTTGTTATAATCATTAGTAAATAAAATTACATAAATTTTTAGTAGCACAAAGTTAGCTATTATTTTTCATATCATTTTCTAATTTGCTTTAATATATTTATTATAATTTTATATTATGCTACTATTATCTACATTTAACATATTTTACTGCTCTTTTTTTATATCTTTTAGTTATACTTTTTGTATTCTATATTATTTTTATAGTATTTTTTAATAAATTTCGAGTCGCATTGATGAATGCACATGAAACTTTTTTAAACAATAATCTTTACACTAGACTGGATCACTTGAAGGACAACACTTCAAAAAGACTGGTAAACTTGTTAGCCTTAGTGAACAAAATCTAGTTGACTGCTCTACTGCCTACGGTAACAATGGGTGCAATGGTGGTTTGATGGATAATGCCTTTACCTATATTAAGGAAAACAAAGGCATAGACTCTGAAGCTTCTTATCCATACACTGCAGAGGTATTTTTTATTAACAAATTTATATGCAAAACAAAATATAGCATCTAAATAAAACAAATATTTGCAGGGGACATTAAGTATAAGTTACTTTTGTTTCAACTATGATGCTTATTAGCATCTCAAAGTAAACAAAAATCAACTATTTCAGTTGATCAAGAGATTTATATGATCAAATTGACACTCATTTTACATGCTTTATAAAAAATCTTTTAGGAGTTCATTATAAATACTTTGACATATGTTTACAGTAACTGATAACTAGCGAATTAGCCAAATTCATATTATAGGATGGAAAATGCGTTTTCAAAAAACCATCTGTTGCTGCAACTGATACAGGATTTGTAGATTTACCTGAAGGAAATGAAAATAAATTAAAGGAAGCAGTTGCCTCAGTTGGACCTATCTCTGTTGCAATTGATGCAAGCCACGAGTCATTCCAATTTTACAGTTCTGGAGTCTATAATGAACCAAGTTGCAGTTCAACAGAATTAGACCACGGTGTGTTAGTTGTCGGATATGGGACTGAATCTGGCAAAGATTATTGGCTTGTAAAAAACAGGTAATAATGAAAGTATTATTAAATGTAGTAATTATTTTTGTTGTCAAAGCTATGAACAAAGTGCATAAATCAGATTTAAATTATTTGTACTATGTTATGTCAATCGTATTATAATAAACATTGTTTTTAACTGAATCACACCATACCTCAAGATATCTAGAAATGTGAAGAAGACAATAAAATATGTTTAGAAGTAACTCTTAATCTAACTATAAATATATATGAATTATATGTAAACTTTGCATCAGTTTTTGAAACTTTAATTTTTTTTTTTTTAGTTGGAATACATCATGGGGAGATAAGGGTTATATTAAAATGCGTCGAAACGCAAAAAACCAATGTGGAATTGCAACCAAGGCTAGTTATCCATTAGTTTGATGAGAAAAAAACTCTTTCATTTTTGTAATAGTGTTTTTTCAAATAAATAAATTTTCAAGAATAATTTCATTATTTATATTTCTTCTAAACAAATTTTAATAACAAAAACGCTACCACCATCGCTTCTACGTCACCGTTTGTTGCTTTAAAACAGGTTGTATTGTTATCAAATTAGTTTTTGTTCAAATTTATGATTAAAAGTTGTTTAATATTTATTTCAAGCATAAAAATGTATTTATAAATATAAATACATTTTTATGTGGAGATTTAAAAACTAAAAACTGAAAAACTCCATCATAAAAACTTAAGTTAATTACAACATATATTAATGACATGCATTAACTCAGCGGGCACAGCGACGTGATAAAAACGTGCATTTCACGTTATTTTTGGCACGTGATATTTAGGTGACTTTTGGTTCCCATGAAATGACCAAAATACGTGATATTTGGACATGCTTTTCACGTGATATGTTCGTGACTTTAAGGTCCCTATTTAACGTCCATAAGACGTGACTTATGGACGTGTTTTTCACGTTACTTTTGGTACGTGATATTTAGGTGACTTTTTAGTCACTATGAAATGAACAAAATTGTTTATTTCATAAAGGCTAAAAAGTCACCTAAATATCACGTGCCAAAAGTAACGTGAAAAGCACGTCCATAAATCACGACTTTTGGAAATTTCATAGGGACCATAAAGACATGTCCTTACGTAGGAGGCATATTATTGTATTTTCTACGTACCTCTGAAACGTGCAAACAGCGTGTCGTCAAAGTCATTATTTGAAAACAAATAATTCTTTATTGCAATAATTATGGTTTTTACCATTATGAGTTTTTAGATTTGATTACAGAAGAAATGAAAAATTCAAGGTTGAGGAAATATTTTATTTTATAAGTACATAATAAACAAATCATATGGTTTCGTTATTGTCAGTAAATGAGTTCTTGACATTAACATTTTTTATTTTCAAAATATCTTCCTTAGGAATAAGTAAAAAACCCTATCATATATCTGCAGCCAATCCCCGAGGAGCATGCTTCAAATGTTCTCTAACGAATCAGTTGATATTTTCTCACATACGACAACAAGTGATGCTAAAAATGAATCAGTAAAATCTAAAATAACTATCAATAATCAAATAATCGTCTTAAATAATACTTTTCTACAAACCCTTAATTAAGGGTTTGTAGAAAAGTATTATTTAAGACGATTATTTGATTATTGATAGTTATTTTAGATTTTACTGATTCATTTTTAGCATCACATAGCACACATTTTTAACATCACTATCAAAATGTTTCTAATTCTAATATTTCGAAAATATTAAAATCGAAAAAATCCTATTCCTAATATTTTATCCTAATTTATAAAAACTAGAAGGTGACTGCCAACAAAATAGTTTAAAATTACCAACCTACAAAGTGTTGAATTACATAAACTGTTATTTTAGAATGCACTCAAAAATAATGGAAGAAAAATTAAACATATTTACAAATAAATTAATCATTGCTCCATACCCATACCACATTAAAGTGGTCATTTTATATTCGAATTTTCTTTCTCCAAGATGAGATGACCACCTACCCTAAATAATATATATGCTTATGATAGAGTTATAATAGAATGTATAATACAAGTATTGTATTATACATTCTATTGTCACAAATAAATACTTTGTTCAGCTAATTTACTGTAAGAAAACTCAGTCAAGACTCCAGAAGAATCCATTTACTTATATATTACTAATTTAAGTAAAAATATTACATATAAATAACTGGTTTGTCTTGACTCAGTTTTCTTACAGTGAATTATATAAAGTATTTTATACATATTGTACATTAGTATAATATGTATAATAAATATAAGAATATTAAGTATATATATATATATATATATATATATATATATATATATATATATATATATATATATATATATATATATATATATATATATATATATATATACATATATATATATATATATATATATATATATATATATATATATATATATATATATATATATATATATATGTATATATATATATATATATATATATATATATATATATATATATATATATATATATATATATATATATATATATATATATATATATATATATATATTTATTTATATATATATATATGTATGTATGTATATATATACATATATCTCCAATGTATATATATGTATATACTAGTGCTTCCAATACCGATACCATTTTTCAATACCGGTATTTCAGTACTGAATAATTTCAATACCGGTAATACCGGTATTATAACGGTATTTAATTTTTTTTAAATTTATCATAATATGAATAAAATCTCAAGTTAATAGTAAAAATTTCATTGATTCAATATGCTTATTTATTTTATATCAAAATAACTAACTTTTTCATTTTTCGCTTTTTTCTCCTTTGTAAAATGAGCCCGTAAAAAATAAAGGACGTTTAGAATATCATCCTCAATAGATGATCAAATTTTGTGATAATGTTGCCACTCGCTGAGAATCTACGCTCCAATTCAACATAAAATGTCAACAATTTTTGAACTAAATTAATGCATTTTTCAGCAGGCAACGAACCAACAACTCTCGCTAATCCAAGATTCCAACATAAAGGGTGTTCAATCTAGAAAAACTGAGAACAACGAGTTGTCGCGTTAATTTTGTAAGAAATTGGTGATCAGAGGTTTGGATTTTTTGTCCGTTGATAACGGTACCAATAAAAAAAACCCGATGATGGTGCTGCATCTTGGGACAATTTCCTATTCAGCAAGTCAATTTCATGCTTAGTTTTTAGATGTGTATTCAGTACACTGGTACGCCACCATTTTATTTTATCTCTTTTTTGCACTTCTTACATATTGCAAGTTAATTTTCTTAATCAAGCAGAAAGTAAAACCACGCAGAACTTTCATCAACTTGAACAGTGCTGAACGGTTTGAATAATTTTTAGGGTGTTTTATGTTTTTCTGGATATTAAGGTAATTCTATCTCTTAGACATAAAATCTTGATATTTAGTTCTTATTTCAATATGCATAAAGTTAAGTAAGCGTAACTTTAATTGCTGTTGATTCTATAACTTTACATTTATAAGTTACACCATGAAAAACAATTAATAATGTATCATCTTGACATTTTTACTAAATTAAAAATGTTCATAACTGTAACGACTTAAAACTTTTCATATTTACGTTAGTGCAAAACTCAAACATGGGATCTATAGATCCCATGTTTGAGTGTACATGTAGCTACATTAAAGCAAGTGATGTAATGATAATATTTTAAATCAGTGCTTTAATAATAGAGGGAAGACAAAATTTCACTTTGAAATTAAACAAGTTTTATCTTTTACTAAATATTTTTAACAATAATTTTTTTTATAAAAATTCAATTAAACAACTTATTATTTTCTCCATTTCAAACTCTTTTTCGAGCCTGATTTTATACTCTCATTACAAGATGAACAAACCCGGTGGGAAATGAGCTAGCGACTAGCCAGCGAATATCTAGCTAGTCGCTACCTATGGATAAAAGACGCTTTAAGAAGTAATATAGTTAGTAATACGTGTTTTACACGTTTTAAACACGTTTTTTGTCATTTAGCTATCTTTATCCCACCAGGAGCGTTGTTTATCGCGACTGAAAGTTTTAAATATAGGGGAAAGTGGGGCAACATGGCGAATGTTTTGAAATGCCTGAGTTATTGCAAAACTATCAGTCGTGAAGCAATAATACTTTCTCAGTATGTTTATGTTATTAGAATGATTCATTGCCTGCATAAATATTCACTTTGCAAATCGTGACCGGGGCAAGATGACTTATTATGCAATTTTTACCTCCAATTTTATAAAATTTCAAAACTACCGATAAATTTAACTAAAGTAACAAAAAATATATACAAATTGTAAAAAACTACTTCTAAAGAAGTTATACTTGAAGGACACCATCCATTATGAGAAATCAAAAGTGAGGAATTTTTTTTTAAGCGCAAAAAGTAAACTTATGCGTATAAAATTGCATTAATAATATTTCAAAAAACCAATTGGTGTTTTAAAATATGACGCAAATACAGTTTTGTTTTCACCAAATTTTAAGATTTTTTCGTTGAATTGTTATACGAAAACCCATCTTGCCCCATTTGCCATGTTGCCCCGCTTTCCCCTATCATTTAATTTCGTATTTTGCGAAAATAAATCTTTCCCATCTGCTATACCTCAAGCCCTCTACATATATTTTTAATACCGGTAAGCCAAACCAATACCGGTATTTCGGTTTTTTAAAAAGTCCGGTACTACCGGTATACCGGTATTGGAAGCACTAGTATATACTTAATATTCTTATATATACATATATATATATATATATATATATATATATATATATATATATATATATATATATATATATATATATATATATATATATATCTCCAATGAATCTATTTATTAAAGAATCAAAGCAAAAGAATAGTTTTATCAGCAATTAATACATCAGTCCAGCCCTTTTTGCAATCTTATCGTATGGAACAAATTATTTCTAGATTTTTTATTTAAAGATTTAAAGTTTTTTTTTGTTGCAAATTTCATGTTTATTTATGAAACAAAACCAGCAGAAAAAATAAACATTTATAAAAAATACATAACTAAAATATATAATAGAGCCTTAAAAATATCTATGGTACAGGACAAAACAAACATATAAAACAACTTGTCTTTGTCATACTCTCAGTTGTTTTTGTTTTTAAATATTTTTGTTTAATTTTAAGAGATTTTAGAATACCTTTAGTAATCCATAACGATTTAATTTTTTTATGTTTGTAATTTACTTCTACTTTCGGAAAACTGATGTCATAAATTTCATAAAAAATTAAAAAAAAGATTTGTATATTAAACTAATGTCTTCAGAAAACATATAAAATATAAAATAACTTGTCATCGTCGCATGAGTCACAAAAAAAAAAAAAAGAGAATGAAAAGTCTTCATTTTTCTCAACATTATTTAATAACCTTACAAGTTAAAAGGTTATTGTGTCTTATTACTAGTA